TATCAAGTACCAGGTTCTGTTGGGAGTTCACTGCGCTCGCTAGAAAACACCTTGGGGTTGCGTATCATAACTACATAGTATAAAAGGGGCCCCGAACCTAGTCTGATTGTTACGGCTCCTACTTGACGCACAAGCGAATTGTCAGGCGGCTTAACGACCAAAACTTGCACGGGGATTAGGGTGAAGGGTTTAGGGCTGAGTAGGCAACTTTTCACTTCTACTATAATGTACTATAAGTCAAGTTTCTGGCTAAGATAACCAGCCCCTCAGAAAATGAAGCCCCAAACAGACTTGATGGCTCGTGTCCCATGCAGGTCTGTAGTTCAAGATCTTGAGCTCCATACTGTTCGTTGAAGGTCATCTGCTCCTGCATAGTTTTAGCATGTTGATGTGCTGCCGGGTTGCAATTCCTAGGTCACCAAGTTTGGGATTCATACTCGCCAAGGCGTTGTTTTTGTTTGGTTGTGATCTGCGAGGGGTCGACATGGAAGATCAACCTAATAAAGAATTCCAAGGCCTCGGATAGTATGACTTTGTGGGCCAATGGGCCTTAGCCAACCCGGCCCAAATCGCGAGAGACGATGAACCTTGCACCCGAGACCCTCGGAAGAAAGATAACTATGGTATGCCATGCCATACTAGTCTAAACGCCAGAAAATGAATAATTTCGTCCCATCCTCTCAGCCGGAGCTTCCTGAATCCGCCATATGCATGTCGAAACCGTGGAAATAAGAGGCCTGGAATTGACTGTAGTATATTTCAACTTAGGAGGCCTGAGGAAACGTACTACGAATGATTCTGGCCGTTCAATTCCCTTTTTAGCAAGCTTCTGGGAAAAAAACAAGGAGGCCACATTTTTGTTACACATTGGAGGTGTTCGCAAGAAGGTTCGTATACTTACTTGATGAAAACAGCAGTAAAACCTAGACCGTCTATCTACCCTCTATCAGACACTGAGTACCCACTATTACGGGCCATTAGCCCTCATTTGAGGCTACTACGAGGAAGCCCTAAACCCTAAACCTTAAGGGGGGCTCTTGGAAGAGGATCTAACTATTTGGGGTTTTGGAAACCCCATCTAGGGTTTCCGGTTTAGAGTTCAGGGTTCAGAGTTAATGGTTTAGGGCTTAGGGCCTTTAGGCTTCAGAGTTTGGGGTTCTTGTAGTTTAAGGTTTTGGGTTTCGGGCCTGGGGTTTTGGGCTCAGGACTTAGGCTTCGGGTTTACACGGATTCCGGTCTTTCGGGGCCCCTAAACCCTAAGCAAAGGTTTAGGGTTTAGGGTTGATGACGATACCAAGCCGCACAGAGAGCAGGGGCCTTGATCCTTAAAGGCTCTGCCCGAAATCGGCAGCCAACCCGAAGTCGTTAAAATGCGACGCCGAAAGCCTGAACCCCCGACCTAACCTAAGTCTGAGTCTGCGATTCGCTTCTCTTCTTTGGCGGATTTGGGGTTGCGGCAGGGGTTTATGGCGGTGAGGCTTTAGCGCTTTTACCCTTATCGCGGCTTACTCTCCGAAAGCCCTACATAAGCCTTCCAACACCTGAGTGCTCATTAACCTGACATATGGGTATCTCCTATAGTCTCCATGGTAGCTCCTTTTATCGTTAACCGAATTTTTTTATTGGATCCTAACCATAAATCTGGTTAGCCAAGACCAGGAACTACGATGGAGACTATCGGCTGGGCTAAACCCTAAACCCTAAACCGTAAGCCCTGAACCCTAAACCCTTCTTCTTGTCACTCCTCCCTGGCCTAACCTTGGAGGCTCTGGAGAGATGGGATTCCCGGATGCAGACTAAGAAGTGGGGGGCGGGGGACGGGTTCGCAAAGCTAGTGGTTGCTGCTGGGGTAGCCCTCATACATATATTCATGATCCTCCTGTTTGTGTAGAGCCTATGAGCTTACGTGAGGTGTCACTCATTCCTGAAGCTTGCATCTGTGGGCCAGGTCTGAGCTGCAAAGCATGAGGAAGGGCTATCCGGATTTGTTTTAATGTTGGTTCATTTTCCCTGCCCTTTCGGAGGTCTCGGTGTTATACGGGGGCAGTCTTCATGATAGTATTTGGGGTTGGATGTTGCGGGCTTTGGGAGGTGAGGCGTTCGCTTCTCCTCCTGCTGCTGCTCCTCCTCCTAGTGTTGTTATTACCCATAGGCTCCTAAGTAGTTCTCCCAAAAAGGAACTACTAAGGAGCCTATGGGTCTAGCAAATATTACTGCCACCACTGCTACTGCTACTGCGACTGCCCATGCTACCTCCACTGCTACCCATACGACTGTACCACCACCGCCACCACATGCTGTTGCCTTTTCGATGCAGGGACTCATGACCCCCCCTAAACCCTAAGCCCTAAACCCTAAGGCCTAAACTCTAAACCCTAAACCCTAAGGCCTAAACCCTAAACCCTAAACTCTGAAACCCTAAACCCTAAGCCCTCAACATAAACTTCAAACCCTAAAAGCCCTAAAAGCCCTAACCGAGTCTTTAGGCCAGCCTCACGCGGGCTCTCTGCGACGACGTGGATTTAGATGAGACGGAGGTCGTAGCCGCTTAGCCGGAACGAGACGGGCCTTAATAATTGCCGATACTGTGCTATTTTTTGGGGGGGGTTCCAACAGACCGCCTACAGTCGCGAACGGAATAGTCGTAGGAATAATCAGCTGATGACCGCAGTGAGGTGAATCGATCTCATTCACTCCCTGTGTACAAGCACCACCTCCAGCTCAGGGAGGCATGGTCGCTCAGCCTGCATCGAAGCGCTGAGAGATCGTAGGACCTTGCAATCCCCATAGGGAACCCTTTAATATAATGGATATACTATCTAAACATCCCCATCTTTTAAAGCCAAAAGCCGAGACCCACGTTTGCATTGAGGAAGCTCTCTTACCATGCTGCACTTCGCTTGGGCAAGAAACGTCGAACGATCCACGGCATCGGAATTTAAAAGTGTCTTAGGTTTAGAGTTTAGCATCATTATGCACTGTTATTTTGCGGTGGCATTGTTGACGGCGGTTTTAAATTAGGGGCTCTCTCGTAAAGACTATGGTGACAAACTCTGCATCTCCAAGATCTGATCTGAGATAGAGCCACACTCTCGCACTACGGGTCGTCTCTAGGGTTGCTGTATCCATTCCATAGCTCCAGCAGCGCCACTTCCAGAGCATTCCCATACCTGATCCGCTCTCAAAGGAACTCAACTACAAACGCAGCTTGGCTTGCTTGGCGTGTGTAGTGATGTCTCATATGTTTCGACAAGCCCTAACCCTCCAGGTACCTACTATATCGGGCCCTAGGGGCTCTAGTACCCTATATAGTAGGTACCTGGGGGGGGGGGGGTTAGGAAGGGTAGACTGCTTTGACACAAGCACGGCATGTTCTTGGCTTGTCGCGGTCAACGGTCACCGTGCAGCGGCGCCAGTGTATCATGCAGCCGTGCAGAGCACCCTTGACAAGGTTTTGCTTTGAGGACCAATCGACCCTCAACAAGTACTGGCCGAATTGTGTGTTAGAAACAGCACTTTTATGGGTTGATGGGTCTTTTACCTGTACAAATGGATACAAAATATCTATAAGCACATGTTTCTATATACGTATATATATATACACACAAACACAGATTGCCTCTTAGTCTGAAGTCTGCAATGTCAAGTCTGAGGCCGTAGAAGTGAGAAGCTGGATCACGTATATAAACATAGTATGAGCCTGTCTCCGGACCCCTTGTCCACCTGTGTGTATATGTATGTATATATATATATATAGACAGAATATGGTAACCTCTAACATAATGCAAAACCTCTAACATAATTATGTAAATATATGAATATACTCTCATTTGACACAGTACAGTGTAACATGTTGTAATACCTCTAATTTTCAGGTGAGTATTACATAAAAAAATATACCATGGTCCCATAAGATGTAGGTATACTAAAGTATATCGTTATTAAAAACACCGGTGTACCAATGTGAGTACCAGTATTGTTTTGAATCTACGTTTTATGTTATTCAACGTATATGTATATATATATGTATACACACTCACTAAAATGAAGCAACATATATTAAGACATCTAGGGAAAGATAGAATCAGGAGGTAGCAGATGTTGCAATTGTAGTAAAATATGTAAAGGGCAACATAGTATAGTTTACATCAACAGAATGGGGGCACAACAGTATCCAGTATACAATATAGCAGAAGGTAGCTCACCACAACACATCATTTGTCGGCACCATGTAACATAACACATATTTTGTCTGCATTATAGTGTTTTGTAGCAGTATGTTATATTGCACTTCATTATTGCATGCTGAATTGCATTATGTGACTTATGTGTTAATACTTTGAACAGCATATTGCATGATGCAGTATGCGATACGACACTATATGTTAATGTTGCATAACATAGCACATGACATAAAGTAGACATATGTGAAATGAAATGTCTTAAACGTAAAATGGCAAAATACAAACAATAGACATAACGCAACAGCAAAGTAGAAACACTGATACCAGAAGGCAAGCATGTTTATTACATAGTTATGTATATAATATATATATATATACACACACATGTCAGATAATTACATGCATACATACATGCATACTTGCAAAAACGTGTATACCTCTCTACAAGGTCAGTATGACAGCCAACTAAACATTTGTATGCATGCATGCAGACACGCGCACGCATATACACACACACGTATGTGTGTGTGTATATATATATGCCTATGTACGTACATATACACACATTGCTGTATACAAAACACACACACATCTATGTGTATATATATATGTATTTACATACGTACATTCATACATATGAACATATATACATATATACACATACACCCACCGGCTTGCTTTGGGCATGTGCTTTATTCTGCAGTGTTCCCAGGGAACCCGTCGCACAACCGTTGCTGCTGAAGAAGTGGAGGAGGATGAGCCACTGGGCGCCCAATTCGACCTAGAGCTACAACTTTTTAGGGGTACGGGGCTAAGGGTTCAGAGTCTCGGAAGAACCGAATCTACCCTCTAGCTAGTCTAAGATGGGGCTGTGGGGTGTATCATGTATATATGTATGGGTGTAGGGAGAAGCCTTGAATCGCTTACACGCTCGGTGATGTTGAGGTTAGCGGGTTCCCACCTGGCTTGTACAGACTGTCGGGCTCAGGGCTCTGAGATATGTAGCCCCCACTTACTCGGGGATGTCCAGGCGGTTTACGGTTTACCCATAGTCTCCATTGTTCCTTTTTTGCTTAACCCAATCTATATTACAGGATCCTAACCATAAATTGTTTGGAAAACAAGATCAACTTTAGGGTTTAGGCTTCGAGTTTAGGGTTCAGGCTTCACGGTTCCAGTTTAGGGCTAAGGAGCCGGCCGACCCGAAACCCTAAACCCTAAATTGGCTTTGGGTTGAGGGTTTACTCAACCCTCAACCCTAAACCCTGAAAATGGTTTAGGGTTGAGGGCTTACTAAACCCTGCACCCTAGAACCGAAAGTTTCTCCAGCAGGTAGAGAAGAATGACCCGTAGAAGAGCAACATCGGTATATTCCATGCCGAAGCATGAACAGTCAGGGATAGGCGATGGATGGATGTATGGATAAACACACACACACATATATATATATGTATGTATATATATATGTTTTATATTATATTATATTATATATAATGTTGTATCATATTTTATCATGGTTTATCATATTATATTATATGATACTATACTATATTATACTGTATTATGCTATATAATACTACATTATATTATATTATATTATCTCATATTATATTACATAGTATTATATTGCACTACATATTATCTGTCACATGGTATGTCGCGTTATGTTATGTTATGTTATGTTATGTTATGTTATGATATGTTATGTTATGTTATGTTTCGTTATATTATATTATATTTTATTTTATTGTACTTTAATACATCATAACGTAATATACTACATCATTTTATATTATGCTGTATTATTTTGCGATATGTTATTATGTTATATTGTATTATATTGCATTATATTCTACTATATTATTTTATATTAGAATATTATATACTATATTATGTTATAATATTTTATATGGTCCTATATTATATAAAGTTATATTATATTAAATCATGTTATATCAGATTTTTTTATCTATTATCACTTTATCTGATATCATATTTGATTTATGATCCTATATTTTGCTATCTTATCTTATATTATATTATAAGATATTATATCATACAATGGTTTTTTATAAAAGACTTTACTATATTATAATGTATATATATATACATAAGTATTTGCACATATATATATATATATTTATTTATTTATATTATATTTTTATATAAAATATTATATATTCTATTGTATATTCTATTCTATTCTATTCTATTCTATTCTAGTCTAGTCTATTCTATTCTAGCCTATTCTATTCTATGAATATTATATAAACATAAGTATGTATGTATGTATGTGTATATATATATATGTATATATATATATTTATAGGTATCTGTGTATATACTGCGAAAGCCTATTCCTGTTTTAAGGGGTCTTGAGTTCGAAGGATGCTTGCCTCGGAGACTCAGCTCGACAGTGCTCCGCTGGAATCATAGGCCTGTACATACGTACTCCCGTTTGCATCAAGTACACTCAAGTGAGACCCTCAACCCTCAACCATATGCCATACCGTCAGTCTTACTCCGGTTTGCCTCAAGGACACTCGTTTCCCATCCCCACCGTCCTACAATAGTCGGTTCGTTGCACAATAATAGCTATTCTTATTCATAGTGCTATTGTATTAATATTGGAAGCCTGAAGCATGAGACCTTTTAGACCCTCGAAGTCAATGAGACCAACCTTGGGTCAACCTCCCCCAAGGCCCCATGCTTACACTAGAAGGCAAAATCCTCATTTCGCGCGGAAGTTCAGGTCACAGCTGCAACGCTTCGTCTTCGGTCCGGAGAGTCACCTGCAGTTGGTTTGGGCGACTTTGTCAGCCCTGTTTATCGCACCCTGTCTCAATGTACGAGTAAACTGATTGCTATTGAAAGAGTCAAAAAAGAATCATCTCTTCCTTAGATGTAAAGGACATAAAATTGGAGCCTAAACTTTGGCCTTAAACCCTAGCCCTAGCCTTCAGATATTAAGTAAGTAAGCCCTCATAGAACCCCCAGGAACTAGTAAACCCGAAAACCCTAAACCTAAAACCCTAAACCCTAAAACCCTAAACCCTAAACCCTAAAACCCTAGAAGCCCTAAGCCCTAGAAGCCCTAGAGGCCCTAAATCCTCAAATCCCAGAATTCATAGACTTATGATCCGTAAAAAAAAAGAGTATAGACCTTATAAACCTTAAAAAAAAAAAAACAAAAAGGAGGACCGTGGCATAGAGCCAGCCGCAGGTCTGGGACCTGGTGACCCTCCCGCTGCTCTTTTTCGACCTCGGAGTTCCCTGGCTCTAGGGCCTTTGTGGTTTAGGGCTTTTTAAGGGTTTTTAGGGTTTTTAAAGGGTTTTTGGGGGGGTTTTTAGGTGTTTTTAGCGTTTAGGGTTTAGGGCTTAGAGTTTTTAGGGTTTAGGGGTTTAGGGTTTAGTGTTTAGGGTCTGGACCCTAAAGAACCTACCTTCTTAGGTTCCCTTATTATGAACCCTTTATATAAGTCCTTGAAAAGGGTAGGGTTAGGGCGTAGGGTTTGGGGGTTTAAAGGGTTTCGGGCTTGGGATTGAGGGCTTAGGGGCTTAGAGGGCTTAAGGTTTAGGGACTCAGGAGTTCCTTCCTTGTCTGCTTAGGGTTTAGGGTTCAGAGTTTAATCCTTTCCTGGGGAAGTTAGGTCTTGAGCTATGGAGCTATGCTTGTGGTCTAGTACAACATTCCTTGGTTTCAGGCGCTTTGTAGTCATTTTTGGGTGGTGTTGTCAGGTTTCTAAAGGGATCTCGTGTTCTAGGGGCTGTGGCGCTTTAGAGTTTAAGGTTTAGAGCTTAGGGTTTAGGTTAGATTTGTTGTTTATGGGGTCGATGCAAGTTATTTCCTCCCAGCTGTGCGAACAACTGCAGCCAAGGAATTCGCCCGGCACTTGGAGTACATCGCACTGGCGACATTGGCCGCTCAGTTTGGTCGTGTACGGCCCAGTGAAAGCCCTTTTTAAGGCAGACCAATATCAAGGTCAACACAACCCCCCAGTAGGTACACCAATGTAGCTGCTATGTGTGTATCTAGACCAAAGCAACAGGAAACAAGCCACGGCATCTGAGGGGTATGGTCATAGAGTCATAGCCTTCATTCGGGCCACAGGTGGGAGTCCCAGACACTCAGGCACAAGAAGCCCGTATAATAATAATAATAATCGTAATACTAATAATAATAGAATTAAAAATACAGACAAACGTCGTACATAGCATACCCCGATCTTCGAAAACGCACAAACAAGGCCTTCTGGCTGCTGGACATGCCCATGCACGTGTTCTTCGCCGTCGCCACGACGGCGGGCATGGTCGACACTTTTGTTGCAACTGATTATGACCTTGTCCGGCGGTGCAAATTGGAACGACCCCTGAAAGCCCTGCATAAGCCCTAAAAATCAAGCGCCTTACCTATGGTCTCCATTGTATTTCCTTTTTGGGGGGGTACCTTATAGGATCCTATATATACATTTTGATAAACCGCAAAAGGAACTACAATGGAGACTACATGTACAGAGATCCCTCAAAGAAACCCGTATAGATCCCTTAAAGGGACGAAATAGAACTCGGCCCACATCCCAAGCGACTGAATGGTGCGCTGTGCGGGCCTGTTCTGCCCTCGGATCTTGAGCTGCGAACGGCCACAAGTAGCCCTACATCCTCAAGGGCACAGACGCTTAGAAGTAGGTTCGCGCCAGGCATGAGGTGAATTTGAATAAAGCCCCAAACTCAAGCGCGAAGCTCTTAATCCTGTAGCCTTTCAGCTGCAGCGAAGTCTCTTTTTCGACCTGCTACACCCTCTTGACCCAAAGAGAGTGGAGTAAGCTTCCGATGCTAGTGCATCCGGAGTCAAATCCACAAGGGTTTAGGGTTTAGGTACTACATATGTACTTAGGACCGTTAGGGAATGTTGGGCCGTTGCATGGGGACAGTTTGCGTTTCTAGGGCTAAGTTTCAATCTTGTTCCTCAGGTCTCCTTGATATGACTGCTAGAATCAACCCCTACTCTGCATGATCAGGATGAGCTGCTTCTCCGTCGTAACCCCATTTGGAATTCCGGTCTAGGGTTTAGGGTGGGTTCAAAACGGCTGGCATCCCTGTGAAGGAGGCTATGTTAGCCTTGGAGGTGCATTTGGACGGAGTGGAGAGCACGGTAGGATTTGCGACACATGTTTCCCAAGGCATGAATAGCAACATATGCTTTATGATCACCCAATACTTTTAGCAACCACTTCGTACTTTCTGGCTTGCAAGGCACGGTTGCGAAAACAAGGCATTCAAATACTCGTGACTGGTGTAGACAATGCACATAGAGCCCCATTCTCCCAGTGGCACCCAAATTTTCCATACCTGAAGGCAACAGTATAACTCCTAAGCCAAACTACTGCAGTTCTTCAAGCCTTATTCCTGCAACTTTTCAACTCGTAAGCCCTCCATCCCTGAAAGCTAGACATCCATGCCTTTGGCCGTCGTTTGTTGAAGAAACACAATTACCTAGACAGCATTTCTGCTATTGTCTGCGTGTCTCTGAGGATCTTTTGGTTATTCATCCGTTTAAAACCTCACATACCCGGAACCCTAACCCCTAAACCTCAAAACCCACTAAGCGGGCGCTGCTTCGACAGAAAGAAGTGCCATTATTCTTCGAGCAAAACCCCCAACACTAGGACTTCAGGCTTTCACAAGGAGCCTCTATAGACCCTAAACCCTACGGTAGAAGCCCTTTTAGTTTCTATGATATTATTCCGTATAGGGATCCTTATTTTATTTTGTAAATAATATCTAATCTTATTCCCTATAGGGTTCCTTACTAGATTTCTTTTTACTTCAGGCCCCTGTATGAACTTCACAAGGAGACGCGCCCTTGGGTCTTGGCAAGGAGGTACGCGAGGTCCTGGCGCCTTGGCCCTTGCGCCTGCTAGGGAGTCTGGGGTCGTCAGCGTGAGCCGGTGTGTGGGAGATTGGGTATGACCCTGAACCCTAAACCCTCTATGTAGATGTAGATACAGACAGATATAGATACAGATAAAGACAGATATAAATATAAATATAGATAAATAAAATAAATAAACAAATATATATATATATGTATATCTCTCTCTCTCTCTCTTTCTCTCTCGTTTCGGGTTCGTTTTCGGGTTTAGGGCCTTCAGGGTTTCGGTGGCCAATCACGGGTTTGAGGCTGAGGGATGGTCTGGGATTTCGGAGTGCAAGCTTCCCTAAGGGTCCATGTACCCAAATAGTATATACATTGGCCCTAAAGTACCTATATAGGGACTACATATAAGGCCAATGTATATACTATTTGGGTACATGGACCCTTAGGGCTTTGGACTCTCGTCCTCCGACGACTTGCGGGCTCTGGCGAGTTAGTAAGTAGGTGGTACTTGGGTCTGCAAGTGCCCGAATTGGGGTGCTCCAGGTTAAAAGTCTGGAATGATGCGTAAGAATGATGGACTTCGCACTAAGTATCCCTGGTTCGTCAAGTAGGGCTTACGGAGTGTAAGGGCCAACTGGTACAGGCGCCGGTCAGCCGGAATCCTGAGCCATTCACTGCCTCGATTAACCTCGAACCCCAAACTTCATACTCTAACTATAAACCCTATATAAACCCTAGGCCCTAAACCCCATGTCTGTTTCTGGAGGATGAACAGCTGTCACTTTATGGAAGTCCGCGTTCTCAGCATTTCAGTGTTCATGGTCTGAAAGGTGTCGCGCTCTTGAGCGTCTGGAATCCAGGGTTGTTCCAAAAACCCTAAACCCTAGTAGAAAACAGCCATTACACATTTCATTTGGCTGGCCTAGGCTCCTTTTGGACGTCTTCATCGCGTTCGTGGATACCTTTGTCCTCACCTTGCACTTCATGATGGAAGCTGATCCGAATCCGTGTCTCGGAGTGTCCCAAAGAGCTGCGCTTTGGTTGGTGTGGGCAATTTGTGCGAAGCTTTGCTCTCCTACTTGGGTTCGGAGAGAGTGCCGACGGGAATCAGCTCGGGGACTAGTCGCCCAGTGCGAAGCTGTCACGACAACAAAGATGTTCTTCCCACTAGTATTGAAATCAGGATATTGCTGGTCAAATTCTGTGGCATGTTGTATTTGTCCCTGCTCTTGTCTCAGTCATTTTATGAACGTATAGGTCTTCATCATTGTCCCAAATCCCAAAGCGCCAAAATCCCCCCACTCCTCACCTAAACCCCAAACCAGAGAAGTTTGTAGTAATCGCCTTTTAGAAGCGTTGGGCTGTTAGTTTGCCTACTTTTGGGGGGTTTAAGTTGGCCCAAGACTATCCGAGGTTGATGCGCTCAACAAGGTTCTTCCGGCTTTTAAGATTCGTCCGCCTTGTGCGGCTCTTGCGAATCGCCTCTCGTCTGAAGCTTCCGGTTAGAATGTGCCAGCGAACGTGGGAGCCGCGGGAATGGACGAGAACGTAGTTTCGAGACTGTCTCATGTTGCGGTTCCCCGACAATAAAATCCTCTAGTATTTAGTTTAAGTAAAACGGTGGCGGCAGTCCTGACGACTTGCCAGATATGCCCGGAACACCGCGCAGTATCATTCTCTCTGTGTGAGATCTGCTGGCACTGACTGTACTAGTTTATGTGTGATTACATGTCTGTACCTGGACATATACATGCATGGGTATGACTGTACTTGAGCATCTAATATATGCATGACAATGAAGACAACGCCCACGTAAGATTGCAATCCGTTGGGTATCACCGAAGAAAATCGAAGCGTGACCAAGTAATCCTGTCAGCATCCTCCTTGCTGAATCGAGGCAAAGTGGCTAAGGCTACATCATCTTGATAAGCCCTATAAACCCCAAGCCCCTAAACCGCAATTCCTTTTCTAGGGCCCCGTATTTTGGGCCCAATAAACCCTAAAACCTGAGCCCTGAACCCCTCGATTGACTATCTATTGAGTTGCAATACTGGCTACACGTTGGGTCTTTTGTGGTGGTTTCCGAAGTACCCTAAGGGTCCATGTACCCAAATAGTATATACATTGGCCTTAATGTATTCCCTATATAGGTACTTTAGGGCCAATGTATATACTATTTGGGTACATGGACCATTACCCATAAGAAGGAATATACCATCATTGCCATAGTTCAGGGTCCCTGAGGTAATGCAGGATTTATATCATCAAAAACCCTAAAAACCCCCAAAACCCTAAACCCTAAAGCCCTGGAAGACCTGAACCCTAATCTCCCTAAACCCTAAATCCCGAGAAACCCTAACAGTATGAAGGCCACTTGGCTTGAAACCCTGACTTCCGGCTCGAGGTGAAGTTGGAAAAGCAAGCGAAGTTCATCCTCGGAAAGTTGCTGTCCACCAACTCCTTGCCACTGGGCCACTGCTAGCAGCAGCTTTCCGTGCGTTTCTGGAGAAGCTTATGTTGGGGAATGTAGAAGTGTTTTTTTTACATTATAGGCATCCTTGAATGCATTGTCCTTGGTACTCAGATGATACGTATGTGTGTATGTGTATGTACGTACGTATGCGCGTGCGCGCGGGGGTGTGTGTGTGCGTGCACATATACATGCGGCCATCTTGCATGCACGCATACAACACTAATTACACTCTACGCAAATACTCACATAGCTCCTGGCCTGCTTGCATGCATGCATGCATGCATGCATGCATTCATCTACAGACATGCATTCATACATATGTGCACATACATATCATGTACATTATGCCTTATCGCCAGATAGTGCTCGCAATCCTTACCGCACCTGCACAGGCTCTGGGTCAAGGTCACTGGCTACATCGCGGTGATGATGGCGATAAACCACGTCATCGCATGCTGTTGGTATGGTGTAGGCTACTACACAAGCGATCAAGGCAACTGGTTACAAAGATCCAACATTGATGCGGAGTCTTTCCCAGATGCTCGGCCTGTCTGACCTCACTGTAATTATGAGTTTCTTGGCCCATGCAATGCTCATGTATTCACAGTAGCATATGAGTGCGAGCCTACCGCTATGCGCTTGCCCTGTATGCCCAGATGGGCGGACCTGCTCTTGAGTTTACCCGGCTCCGCCATATATAAGGAATCTTATGTGGCGTCGCTGCATTGGTCGATGACGCAGTTCACCTCAGCAACCAACCCTATCGCGCCAAACAACGGATGGGAGAGGCATCGGCTACTTCCATGGTTTTGGGGTCCAGGACGTGGGTAATCAACTGATCACTGCTTTTATAAGCCCTTGAATGTCAACTATTGAGTGACAAGGGCAGTTCTTCAAGAATGCCAGAGTCGCGCCCGGGCGACGATTCGAGGGCTTTTGACGTGATCTCAAAGTCATTCCAGCAGGATCGGGGAACAGGGTTTAGGGTGCAGGGTTTGGTTTACCTCCTCTCAATGATTCAAGCTTCTTGGCTCAAGGGTTTCACTTCGGATGAGCTTGGTTTAGGGTTTCGGGTTGTCGTGTGTTTTTTTGCTGCTAGGTGGTCTCCAAGAACCCATGTGCGTCAAGACTCCCCTCCCAAACTTGAAGCCACCTCTGTCCCGAAGTTCCAAAACCCGTGTGATAAAACACCTACAAGCCCAAGCCCTATAGCCTTACCTCCGAAACACTGCATTCCCTTTCAGAATGTCCTATAGTCTCCATATAGTTCCTTTTTTGGTTGACCAGTTTTATGGTTAGGACCCTATAAAAAAATATATATACTTGCAAAAGAGGAAGCACAATGGAGACTAGAGATAACGCCACAAACGCAGAACGTCCAATGAACCCCCGAGCGGATTTGGGACGGTTTCGGGTGGCAGGCTCTTTGCCATCATCGTCATCCTCATGGCCGTGGTGCTTGCCTCAACGAAAGACTTTCTTCGGTGTTTCGACTTCCACACCCTAATGCCCTAAACCCTAAACCTTTCTGCTTTCACACGCTCCATCCGGTGCTTCCCAGATGATGTTCAGGTGGCGATAGCTCCCATGCTGTAAGGTCTTGGTCGATCCTTAACCCTCAATCCTGAACACTAAACCCTAAACCCTAAACTCCAAACCCTTCACCCTCGAACCCTCAAGCCAAAACCCTACACCCTAAACCCTCAACCCTCAACCCCAAAGCCTAAACCCCAAACCCGAAACCCTTAACCCTTGATGGTGGTTTAGGGCTTTTCTTTGAGTTCGCTCGGATTCTACTAGCAGCTCATGACCATGGTGTAGAGTCTCCCTTTAACGTGCTTAGTCTTTAGGTTTAGGGTCTCAGGGTTTAGGTTTAGGGTTTAAGTTTAGGATTTAGTGTTTAGGGGTTTAGGATTTAGTGTTTAGGGGTTTAGGTTTAGGGTTTTAGGGTGTACGTTTAGGGTTTAAGATTCAAAAGTTAGGGGTCTCCGTGTAAAGTATTGGACGAACCTCTCAGAGAGCGCGGGCTTTGCAGCAACAGCAGGTCTTCAGAAACAGCATTGAGATTGCACCATGAATAGCCAGGACTCGAGCTGAGTCTTCAGGGTAGATGACGCAACCCTAAATCCTAAACCCTATAAACCCGTTCTCACCCGGGGTCAGGGTTGCCCACCAAGGCCTGGGGCCCAAAACAAAACTATAAACTCTAAACCGGATCCAGTTATAGGCTTTGGTGCTTGAGTTTCGAGATTCCAATCAGCTGAACACGAACCTCCAAAGCCCAGGTGACTGTAAGGTTATAGCAGGGTCCGAAAATCCGAGTGACTGTTGCTGCCACTTTGAAGTAACATGCCTCCGATGGCTTCGTTCAACCTGACTGAGCACTGCCTAGTGGGAGCGGTATCTTGTTGAGTTGATGTGCTTTGTAAGATGCAGCAGTTGAAGCCAGAGCACTGACGTAGCCTGGCATATCCTCGACCCGAATGTTGTGGATCCGGCTTATCTTGCACATGCTATGGTATCACGTTACGTTAATTTCATTGGGAGCATGGAGGCCTGAACTCTGGACCTCTAGGCTAAGTCTTTCCTAAGCTGTCGAAAGTCGTTGATTCCGGTTGAGGCCTCATACTTGGAGGCTGTTGAGAGGCCATAGGCATGGTTTTGAGTACCTTCATGAGATTCCAAGCTTTCAGCACCTGTTGCCAACAGTTGTACCCCACCCCTGCAGTCTTCAATACCGGAGAGTTATCGCTTTTGTTTTAAAATGCTAAGACTCTTGGTGCTCGCATTGCCGGTTCCTGGCCGTGTTTGTGTTGATGCTGCTGCAGTTGCTGCTGTCGCTGCTGCTACTGCCGCTGTTGCCATCACTGCAACTGCAGTTATTTTTGTTGCTGCTGTTATTGTTGGTGGTGGTGTGGCGCTGGCCTCAAACTGTGTATACACTTGCATGTTGCAGACACCATAGCAGTGCTACACAGCAGAGAAGCAGGTCGAATTTGGTAGCACATGGCAACATGCGAAAGTATGACATAGCACGACATAGCCCAGTGCAGCTTGCACAGCAGCACGATGCACTGTAGGCATCCTTCTCGTCCTTTGTGGGCTCCATCGGCTCAACGATCAGTGTCTTGGAGGAATCGCAAACCCCTAAAGCTTCAACCCTGAGCTCCAATGCCGAAGCCCCAAACACTAAACCCCAGTGTGGAGACTGTTCAATGATGGGGGGGAATCAAAAGAGAAGCGCAGTACTCCTGAACTCTATTTCTGCACATCCCAACATGATCCCAAGACACCTTCAATCCCATCTGTATTCGAAGATAATCGAAGATAACTGCTTCTTTGCGCGGTTGCGAGTGGTCTTTAGGTCTTTTGGGTGTTAGGGTTGCAGGTCCTGGCAAACTCCCGGATGTTGATTGAGGACTTATAATCAGGTTGCTGCCAGGTTCATGCAGCATCGTGATGACTGCAGATTTAAGATGCTTTCTACACGTTGGGCATGTAATTAGCTTATTTATCAAATCCTCAGCAAACATGCCCACGTAAAACAATTACATTACGTTAAATTAAAGTACTTTACGTTGCTCTGCATTACACTGCGTTGCATTGCGTTGCATATTGCAGTACATGTTGCATTACACATTGCATTACATTGTGTTCCGTTGCATTACCTTGCATTATGCATTGCTTCGCACTACTTTGCATTACAGCACAATGCATTGCATTACCTACGCTACACTGCTTCGCAATTCATCACATTGCATTCATTACATTGCATAAAATGGCATTACATGGCATTCCTTTGCGTTTCATGGCTTCACATTGCCCTACATTTCACGAATTACATCACATGACCTTCCGTTCCATTCCATTCCATTGCATACGTACGTATATACTTGCTTACAGACAGACAGAGAGACAGACAAATAGACAGACAGACTGACTGACAGACTGACAGACTTGACAGACAGATAGAGACAGAGACAGACAGGCAGGCAGGCAGGCATGCATACATACATGCATGCATGCATGCATGCATGCATGCATGCACATCTTTGTTGTTCGGCAGCTTTACTGAAATGCTTCAAATCCTCAAATGACCACATTGCTCAGACGGTCCATATACAATCACCATGGTGGAATGAGGTCACAGCCTAAAGGAAAGCCACAAAACCGTAGTAGGTCTCTATATATATATATATCATAGACGCACACACAACTCATATACATATTTACATCCTCATACAGGTGTGTATGTGGATGGATGTATGTATACTTAAAGAAATGTGTAAGCATGTATGTATGACCTAGCTGTCTGTCTATACACATATATGTATACATGTCTTATTAATTTTTTTATTAAATAACAGAAATTGCAACATAATCATGTGCTACAGTAATATCAATGCCGATATGTATATTGATAGCTATACGAATAATCATAACAGTAACATCAATGTGAAATGTTATCTTTAAGGTTTACATATTCAGACAAATCAATAATTAAGTTTTTAATACATATATATATATGTATATGTGCATGTAAGTATATATGTATGTATGTATGTATGTATGTATGTATGTATGTATGTATGTACGCATGTATGTATGTTGATAGATCGATAGATAGATCGATAGGTAGATAGATAGATAGATAGGTAGATAGATGAGTGTTTATAGACAATAAGTTGCAGGATCCTGTTTCGCACTTACCTCCAAGAGGGAACTCTGAATTTCGGAATGCTCCCATGGGCCGTATCCCTCTAGACCCTAAACCCTAAACCCTACAGTAGTATGCAGGTGCTTAAAACCTTCCAGAAGCACAACTCCCCAACAACCCGCCGTAGGCCTGTAGAACCTTTATCCCTAAACGCTAAGCTCTAAACCCTAAAAACTAACCTTAGGCTCCATGCGAGCGGCACGTCGAGGAAAAATCCTTGAGCGATCGAAGCTGGAGCTGCTCCTTTTCGGCCCTTAAAAGACACAAGGGCTCCAGCTACCTAAACAATCGGCTACTGGGCTTCATATTCTATAGCTAGTAACTGACTATTTAGGTTTCTGTAGCCCTAGGGAGACGAGTCTGTTTTGTGAATGCATCTTGAAGGGGTCCGATAAGGGTTGTCTATGGGCTCTATACGCAGTTTTGTACTGAGACAAACGGGTTATCCTTCTCTCAGGTGTCTTCATATGGAGCTCCGAGTATTAAAAGTCTGTGTCCTTCAGCTTGCGCAAGGACGTTTCTTATCCCCTTCCACATTGACTGCGAAGAGTCAGCCCAAGACTGTGAATATGGAAGCCGTTAGGTTTAGGTCCCGGCCATAAACCCTTGCTACCTGTACGACCCAACGGGAGGTTCTTCACGGAGAGACAGCTCCCGCTCTCCCTCTTCAGCAAGGTCAAGGCGGCTCTGTGACAGGGCCTGAGGGGCGGACTTCGTCTACAGGGAAAAGGGTTTGGGGTTTAGGGTGTCTACCCAGCGACTTCGGCATCTCTTGGTGTATGATCCCTGAATGACAGTGCAGTTCTTGCAAGCAGGCACC